TTTTTTTTTTTTTTTTTTTTTTTTTTAATTTCTGACATGTCTCTGGCATCCTACTTGTGGAGGCCTGAGGCCAAATGGAGAAAAGCAGACATACATCTTTGCTCCTCCAGTATGAGGGCAGGTGTTGCTGGTGGACACCCTGCTTGGAGGCCTCGGGCTATCCTCAGTGCCTGGCGGGGCGGTGTGAGTAGCCATGTGCCTTTGTGATGCTGAATAAAGAGGATTTTTCATCAGCATTTCTGCCAGGATAGTTTTATAGCTCCTGTCCCTGCTGTTGCTTTGAGTTCAGACTTCCTGCAGCTGTGTTTAACTGCAGGACCATGATAATGCTTTGGAAAAGAAGACAAAACTTCAGAATTCCTGCATGGAGTAAGACAAGACAGAAACTGTTTTGTTTTGGGAAAAAAGTCTGCTGAATACAGCAATTTCCCAATTTAGACTGCTGATTGCTTTGGATGATACTGTTGCTAGGATATGCGCTTGCAGTGTGGCTTCTACTTTTTAATTATTTTTTGATCTGTTTTTAAACAGGTGATCATAAACAGCACAATCACACCTAACATGACCTTCACTAAAACCTCGCAGAAGTTTGGCCAGTGGGCGGACAGCAGAGCGAATACTGTGTTTGGTTTGGGCTTTCCCTCGGAGCAGCAGCTGACGAAGGTAACAGGGCTCCCTGAATTTTTTGTTAATGAAGAATCGCTTGTATGCATCTGACCTTTTCTGAGCTGCATGCTTCTGCGAGTCCTCTTCATCCGTGCGAGTTGCCCATACGTCCTATAGTTACTCAGTGTCTGTATATACAGAAGCAGGCAGTATGGCAAACTTCGTAGTCACCATTATAAATTAAGTCTGACCACTGATGATGGTACTAGTGAGGTGATCTCGACAGTATCTTGCCCAGCGTGGCTGAAATCATTCGTGTTTTCAGATGTTTACAGGAACAACCTGAACTTTTTGGCATCTCCCTGGCCTATGTGCCTATTTCAGCTGAAAGTGGCACCGAAAGCAGAGGGAACCACTGATATGCCAGGACTGTGGGCATTAGGGCTGCCTAACGTGTCTGAAGGAAGAGAGTTGCTCTCCCAGCCTCAGAAATGTGTGTTCTGGTGACTTGCTGCTGTTGGTCGGTCACCGAGGTGAAGGAGCTGCCAGCCCCCAGATACCGCTGTTGGAGGGGCCATGCTCTCAAGAGGCTGCCTAAACTCATCTGGGTTCAAATAATACTGCGGGTTTGGCATTTCAGCTCGGTGGTGTGATTTGCAGCCCTGGCCCAAACAAAGTTGCTTAATCACAGACCTGAGGAGGTGGCAGTGAGTCGTGGCAGCGACAGGGGGATGAGTAGCCGCGGAGGTCTGACGCCGGGTCTGCTGGCGGAGCTGCCTCTCTCAAAGGGCAAAGCCGGCGATGGATTTGGTAATGATGCGACACTTCCCTGGACCAGGGACTGACTGCAGCAGCAGGCTTGCAAAGTCTAGAGCTGCCTGTTGCCATGAATAACCAGCAGTTTAAAATACATCCTCACTCATTAGATTAGTGGTCTTGCCAAGTGCTCATCAAGCAGCTGAGGTGTTTGTTTGTTCATGTAGTAAAAAAAAAAAATCCCTACGTATCTAACACACAGTTGACACCTGAAGTATGGCTACTTGGCACTGGGTTTTGTCAGTTAACATGTGTCCTTGGGCATGGGGCACAGGCTCTCATGTTGCTGTGCTCTCGTGTGCTTTGATAAGAAAAGAATCAGGAGAACAACATATTTATTGAAGTGTCTAAAATAGCAGAAGCAGACCGGTGCAGTAGAAGGAGGACTTTTTCATCAACTGAATCGTTATACACATTTATTTTGCTAAGTTTGTCTTACTGAGTTTTTGCAATTTCAAGAGAATTGCCTTTTTTTGGTAAGTATTTCTTAAAGGTAAAGCATATTTTACTTTTCATGTTAAATTATTTTTGGACTGGGGATGTCCATAACGGTACTGTGGCAATAATGTGCTCTCCTGGGATGCTAAGGCCACCCAGTGAATCACTTGCAAGACTGTTTTTTAAAAATGAGGTGCTGGTGCTGGTTATATTTTATGATGCTTGCTCAAGTGTAGTGAACTGCTCATTTCACCTGTGTACATTCTCCACTCCTGTGGCAAAGAGGGGTTCATAGTAGGTAATAAGGAATATGGGAGGAATTAGGGGAATAGTTTGTTTAGCGTGACAGATAACCGTAATACAGTGCAACCTTTAGACACCGAATGAAAGAATTAGAACCATTGGATAGTAGTTTTTAATCTGGGATTACTGAAATCATACGTCTGCAACATGACAGGTGATCATGGGGTAGCTTGGTGCTGGCTGGTTTTAAGCATGCACCATGTGCCACGTGGAGCCAGTGGTGCTGAGGGTGGCTCAGGAGAAGAGAGGTGTAACGAGGCACAAGGTACATTCAGAGGTCCTTGCACCCTAATCTGAGAGATTTTACGATATTCTCTAAAACTGTCAAAACGTGCACTTAGAATAAATTTAATGCTGGTATCAGAAAGCAGCTCTTTAATGTTCATGTGGCCAGACTAGAGGCAATCTGAAAACATGTTGTGTGGGCACAAGGGCCTTGGCACCAGCTATGTTTCTCTCTCGATCAGTTTGCACATCTGTTTGCACTGCAAAATCTGCTGAAGAGCCCACTGATGGTAATACAGCCTTCAACTTGCAGGAAAAGCTTTCCAAATCAGCAGAAAGACTTTTTCTGGTCAGAATATTGAAGGAGAGCACTTCTGAAAATGGCTTGAGATGATCTATTTAAAAAAAAAAAAATCTGACAGTTACTTAGCTGGAAAATGTAAGAAAACCTGGTTTGTTACAGCATGCAAAGCAACGGAACAAAGATATCCTTTATCATCCATGCTCCTCAGTTTAATTATTGAACCATTAGGAAGAAAGATCAGAGATGGTAGAGAAATTACAGATGTACAAGTGTATTTGGAATAGTAAAACCGAGTTTCGTTTTATGTTGGTATAATTACACTCTTATAAAAGATATAAAGCTTGCCAGTTTTACTGGAAATAATTGAAGCTTTTAGTCAGAAATTGGAAGGACACACTAAAACTCCAACTAAACCAGAGATCAATAGCTCTGTCTTAAAATAAATAAATAAATAAAGCTGAAAAATGTCTGCTGAAAACAGTGAAAACTAATGAGACAGGAGAAGAGGTTAGCGTGCCTAAAAATGTCTGCATTTTTAAGTATATTGGTTGGCCTAATAAAAGATTGTCTCTTTCTAATGCCTTGCTTCTCCTGAGATATTTAAGCATTAATCCATACCTGTAGGGAAAAGCAGTTCAAATTAAACATGAGCCATTAATGAAAACTGCATTCAGTGACCTAGTAACCCAATTACCATTCACATTGATTGGGAGAATCCCAGGGCTTAGAGTTGATGTCCCAGTCAGCGTCCTTTTCCCCTCTTGCAAGACTTGCAGATGCTCCTTTTCCCCCCCCTTCCCACCCTGTGCCTCAAAAAGGTCTCAAGCCATTATTTAAACATTGCTCCAGCCAAATTGAAACGGGAATCAAAAGAGAATTCGTGATGTGCCTGAGTATGATGAAGAGGCAGGGCTGGTGCTGCAAAGGTAGTGATGTATTTTGCACATGAAGTGGTTAAGTGAAATTTCCGCTATCGTTCAGGATGCTTTGACGCAGATGTGCTGTGTGAGGAGCTGGAGGTAGTCAAGGGCATAGGGACAAAGGTTTATACAGGTGAGAAACCCAGCAAGCCCGGACTTTGCTCATCGCAAAGCAACTGCATCCAGCCTCTGGGAAGCACTGGACTTTGTTTCGCTGCGTGCATGTACATTATACGTGCAGTATTTTCCAGGTGCTGTGTTGCAGGGGAGAAAGCTCAGAGCACAGCCTGCCCCTCCCAGTCCAACTGGCATCGGTGCTGTCAGCACACTGGCTGTGCCGGAACAAATTGCTGGTCACTTTCTGGACTAAATAGTCTTGTTGGCTACCAATCTGCCCGGTTCTGAGGGCTCACTGAGAGAAGGCCACGGAGAAAGTGACGCGTGCGTTGTGGGTCGCGGCACGGTGGTGCTCCCCAACGGGAACGTCGCATCACCCAGCCTTCTGCAGACCAAGAGGGTGATGAAATATTTATGAGACTGCTTTGGGTGGGAGCAGCTGTTTCATCTGACACTGGCACAATTTGTCGGTAGAAGACGTAAAATGTAATGCCAGATCGGGAGCTTAAAATTTACACATATACAAAATAATGCTTTTAAACGTATACAATGTTAAGAAAGCCTATTTAAATACATATATATGTATTTCTCCAGGTGACAAGCTGACTGCAGGTTTGAACAGCCTTTAAATAATTTGTGCAGTGCACAGTAACATCCTTGAGTCCCCGTTAAATTTCACTGGCCAAGACTCAGAATCAAACCATGTTCATGGGCTGCAGCAGTTTTAGACTAAAAGCCTTCACAAGCGTTGGTAGCAGCAAATCTTTCCCATATTGCAGCTTAGTCTCACAGCTTCCTGGGACATGGCAGGACACGTCAGATAATCCATTGTACTGGGTCTGGTTGAGCCAGAATTGGTTTTCCCCTATAGCAGCCCTCATGGACTATTGGGGTGGTGTTTAGTTGGAATTTCTCCTACTTCAGGGTTGGGTTTTTTTGCTAATTTTGGGGAATTTTGTCTGCCAAGGACAAGGGTGGAGGAAAGGGAAGATGGAGTAAAGAGAAAGAACATGATGATTTTTTTAGTTGGTTTGGGGTATTTATACCTGCCCCTTGAGACCACATTTACCAAGTTTTCATTGACTAAACAGAAGATTATTTCACTTTTTAACAGGAGATTTCACATGTAAAAAGCAGTCCCTATTGGTGCAAAGGTTTGCTAACTCAAAGTCAACTTAGACCTTGGAGGTGGTACATGATTTTGTAGTATCCATTATTTGTCGATTAATTATGTTTGCGACAGAAGAAATCGGGTGCTGGAGAGAAACTGTTTATGATATCTGCTAGTGATTAGACACTGTCCATGCCATCGCTCTCGGAGACAGCCTCGGGATCTGGATAGTTTCAGAAGCGCCTGGTCTGCTGCCGCAGCAATTAGCGTTGGTAATGCTGCATCAGTTTGGGCTGTCACCACCGTGCTGTTGCACTCAGAGTGATCAAGTGAAAGGCTTTAATTTCATAACAAGCCAAGTGATTCTCCACAGCTTTCAAAAATAGACTGTTAGTAAAATCTAGCAGGTATTAATTAGCTAAGAACGAAGAAGAAGAGGCGGCAGAACTCTTTACGCACTGACTGTTTCCAAGTGTACGGGGTAAACAAAACCCAAAGACAGTCTTTCAGCACCGCTTCTGTTACAGCCATCTTTAAGTTTGTAACAATGATAAGAGTGAAGGGTAATATTTTGACTTTTAAAGCAGAAGATCTGTCACTAAAATGGTGAAAAAATCAGCTATTTTGTAATTGTTTCAAAAAACAAATGTGTTAAATACATGTGTTGTTGAACTAGAGACAATGACTGAAATCTATTGTGGAGTGAGATCATTATTGGTTTTATATTGAAGATTAGCTTTGCTCAGTCGTGTATAATTATTTACTATGGACGTGTGGAAAAATGTCCTTTTCCTCTCAGCTCACATGATTTTTCATAGCAGCCTCCTGTGTGCTTTATGAAGATAGCTGCAAAAATAAAATTTGATAGATCACTTCCAGTTCTTTTTGTCTTCCCATATTTCATATACTCCATGAAGAACCCTCATAAATTTTTCATACTTGCCCATAAAGATTTATTGTAAAAGAGAGACTCAAAACTATTTGCAAGAAACCCAAGCATAGAACTTACTGTTGATAGAATGTTTAGAAATAATCAGTTTGTTATAGCTGCTTTCTCACAGCAGGAGATACATTTTGTGTAAAGTTGGAGTTAAATCACTTAAGGCGAAAATGTAATGTAGTTGTTCCTCGTGATCTTTATAGGGCTACAAAGGTAATCAAGTCATTTGTGTGTGTAGTGACTGCATGTGCCATCAGACAGCACCTACTGCCATCCGAGACCACGTGCTTTGCACATGCAGTTGTAGCTGCTGTACAGAAAACAGCTGGATTGCAGAGCTCGATCTTCAGTCATAGGCATCGTCACGGGTCGTAGTCTACATCTGCAATTTCACTTGGCTTTGAGAATGTGCTAGTCCATGGGATTTAAGAATGATGTATGTGTGTTTGTTGGAAGTTTCCATTTGTGTGTGTTATACAAAACGCAGGTGCCTCCACATATAAATCCAGATTTCTCTTAGACCAGTTGGAGAAGATTTGTTTTATCCGTCTTTATAGTCCTAGCATTTTACAGAGCGAGAGCATTCAAAATACCTGCTGTGAATCTGAAAGTTAGAAGCTAAGATTAGTAAGTGGATAATGATTTTTCCCATTCCTTGACTATAAAATGTGATTATTTTTTTCATGCATTTATTTACAATTTTTCATAAGTGTTCTGAATTATCTGGGAGTATAATGGCAATCCTTTCATTCACAAACTGTGCAATAAAATACATCTATTTATATTTTTACTTTAAATATGTCTTTCTAGCATTTCAAGTTTCTCAAAACACAGGCATGCAAGACTAAGCTGCTTTAGCAGACAGACAGTTACCCATTCTTATACTGGATACACCTTCATTAAAATCAATGGTGTGTTATGCCTTTTCTTCCGTCTTTGCAATCCTCCTTTTAAAACTTCAAATGCTGTGATGATACTTGTATTTCAGAAGTCCCAGACTGCCTTGGGAGCAGATGTCCTACAGTAACTCGTAGCACTTGGGATCATTGGTTTTCATCTTTATCTCCCTTTCCCCTGCCTCCCCCAGTTTGATGTAACCCTCTTACAGGAAGTGTCCAAGCCTTTCCCTGAAGTCTTCTACCTTTATTTTTGCCAGTAATAAGAAAATCAAACCAGAAGAGCTGTGTTTTCAAATGGCCCCATCATACATTCAGATCTACTTTCTTCACATTTTTTCTGTGTCTTGATAACCCCTTGCTTGCATCCTGCGGGTGAGCTCATTTGCATGCTTTAATTTAATTGACTTGCTCTTAGGAATAGAAGACACTGATAGGTTTTGTTTTTTTTTTAATCCAAGCATATGTCTTTTGTACTTTCAACTTTAATAGACTGTCAACACCAAGTGAAACAGAGGAGGGGAGGAAATAAAACCAAATCAAACCAGGAGACACTAATAGCTCCTTTTTCTCCACTGGGCTCTTACTGTGATCAGCCAGAGCTACAGAGATGTCCCTCTTTTAGAAACACACACCACACCCCCCGTTTCTTTTGAAAGAACCTCCCTGCCAAAGAATTAAAATGCTTTTTCTTGCCAAAAATTTTAAATTATCAAAATTAGTTGTTCACTTTTGGAGCTCTGCGAACTGTGTAAAGACAGTAATCTGAACGGTTTAATAGACGAGAAATAACTTTAATAAATATCTTTCATGCTTTTTCCAGTTTGCAGAGAAATTCCAGGAAGTAAAAGAAGCTGCCAAACTAGCAAGAGACAGATCTCAAGAGAAAATTGAGACCTCAAGCAATCATTCCCAGGTTTGTAATTCAGTTTTAATACCTGTGTGCATACAGGATAAATAATTTAAAGTTAAATTTTCTAATGGACTGTACCAGCTTCTGGCAGCAAGCTTAAAGTATATAAAATGAAGATTGCCAAAGGTAATTGTTAGCTGCTGGACATTAGCGTTGTCAGAGGAATATTTTTCATCCATCCATGCTCTTTGCCTTCATTTAAATGTCATTTTTTTTTCAGCAGTTCTCGAGCTGTTACGTAATAACAGGGAAAGTCCTTTGACTTGTACTGTGACACACAGTTTGGGTCACTGGAAAGTCAGTCAGTGGAGTAAGTAAATGAGGTTCATCATTTTTGCCATCTGGCAATGTACCTTTGTAGGAGTTCGGTTTGCCAGTGGAGAGGCTGACTTTGCTGCCCGGCTGTGACTGATGGGAAGCCGGGCTGCGGGAGCAGAGGCGGGGCTGTAGTGAGCGGTTGGAAGATGCTCCTGTTGCATCTTTGTGCCATATGCTTTTCCAGACAGCACACCTTGATACAGCCAGGTGCCCCTGTGTCCGGGGAGATCTTACAAATTGAAGAAACTGAGTGTGGTCCCAGTCTCCCTGTCTGTCTGGCTGTAATTTCATGTGCATTGCATTGGGTAAGACTGAACCCTGTTCAACAGGTGTTCTTGGCCTGGGCAAGAGGATAACCTGCTTGGAGGAAAATTAGATGAATTTTGGTCAGAGAGGACTTGATCAGAAAAAAAGCTGCTGAATGCTCTTAGTCTTGCAATTAACCCCCTTTGTGGAGTCCACAAATATTGATCTGAGAGGCTGACTGTGGATACTCACTTTTTAAAGACTTTGGTCATGGTTGGCCTTTATGATTCACTTTCTTCTCGGTTGGTGATCAGCACTGAGCACTGTATGAATGGTATCTCTTTGGAGGAGCAGTATCTTTTAAATTTATTTATTTATTTTTGGTTTGGACGTTGCTTCCAGGTGCACTGTATTATTTCATTATCTTAAAAAAAACCCCAAACAACCTTCAGAAAACACAAGCCTTGTCAGCTAAACACTCAAAAAAATGTTAACGCTTTAAACTTCCATTTTGTGTATCATTATCATTCTTTCATTCTTTTTAAACAGACCGACTTTGCTGCCAAGATGTAACGGGTATGTGTTTGTTACCCCTGTTCTGCCAGGAGAACGTATGCAGCCTAGGTCTCAGCAGGGTGGTGTGGGATCAAGATTACAAAGAAATTGGTGTTGTGGTCTTGCAGGAGATGCAGGTGACACCCAGTAATCATCTGTGTTTTGTGCTGCAGGAATCTGGACGTGAAACACCATCTTCCACTCGAGCATCTAGTGTGAACGGGACAGATGATGAGAAGGCATCACATGGTGGTCCTGCTGAGGCACATCTCAAGTCTGAGAATGATAAATTAAAAATCGCTCTAGCTCAGAGGTGAAGTTCCTTTAATACCTAAACGGCATTGGAATAGCATGCTGTAATTATCTGATGGCTAATGATATTAACAGAAATTATTCGAATATAATTGCATTAATTTAAAATGATACAACAGAATGGGTGAATGAGCAGGTTTTAGCAACTACCTCCTGGTATTGAGCTGAGAGATAGTTACCGTTTAGAATTTTCCTGATCTAGTTTGTGATGAAATCAGGTCTCTTTTATTCTGCTGATGCCAACTCTTGCAACCACCTTTGTTTGTGAAGTTTCAGAGCTACAGAAATAACATTAAAGCCATGGGAGAGCAATTGCTACTGATAACATGTGAAGCCAATCTCTCTTCCTCTTTGAGTTTGCTACAATTACTTTGATGAAAATAGATACGGATATTTAAAATTATAAAAGGGAATGAACCATAAAAAGTTGAAGTGAGAAATTTCACTGGGCTGCTTTAAGAAGTCTTAGGGGGATGTTTCTAAAGCTGTGGACAGTGCCCCTTGAAGTCAATTTTTTTGCTATTTGCTTTGATAAATTATTTGAAAAATGCTGAGAAGAGTAATTTGCAGCCATGGTGAAAATACAGGCATTGCAATATGCAAAGTTACGACATTAAAGTAGAATCATTCTCTACTGGGATTCTTGCCTTGTCTGCCTCTTGCATGTGAATATATCTGTGAATGGAAAGAAAATATAACAGGATTAAGCTACTCTTAAAAAGCTATTTAAAAAATAAGGCAGCAGCACCATAAGCAGCATTACCCAGTGAGCAATTCTAAGGTTGCATATATTATATTTGAAGTACATCCTCTCTATTGACATTTCAGTAGCATAACCTATTTCAAATCATAACGTTTGCTCATTCCTTCTGCTGAAGACACCTCCACAGGCAAGTAGCAGCTAGCATGTAGGGAGTTTCAAAGCCTTCTTTCCATTCAGTCTCTAATCTTGTGCTCTGCGCTGCAGCTGGAAGCTTTGGGGAATGAGTAGTTTAATTCTTCATCATTACGTAACGCTTTTATATTTAAGGCTGAACATTTAAAAAAAATACCAAATATAGTTAGTGTCAGCCCCCGACATCTTCTGTTCTGACTTACTGTCCCATCTGCAAGTGCGTGGAGTCGCTTTGTTGGGTGGGTGCCACATGCCCGGGTCTGCACTGCGGTGGGTGCCCGACGACAGGGGCGAGCACAGACCGTGCACAGCGCTGGGGTGAACCCCCTGTTTGCAAACGGGGGTGTCTGCTTAACCCCACAGCCTGCTCTGAGTTTTGTTCCAGGCACACAGGTCAGGGATGCTGGAGTTGATAGATCCCTTTGTTTTGACAGAGACACACAAGTTAAGGCTTATGTTCTCCTTAGGCAGGCAGTGGCCAAAGGCAGATCCCTACATCTGAGTATTCCTGATCTTAAATTATTGGTAAACACACACCGTGGGTGGATGAGTTTGCAGTCGGGTAAAGAGTAATGATAGGCAGAATTAGAAGGCGAAGCCACCTAATGGGACCTGGTTTTTTTCTCAGTTCATCCAACGTGAAGAAGTGGGAGACGGAGCTGCAGACGCTGCGTGAGAGCAACGCCCGGCTGACCACGGCGCTGCAGGAGTCGGCGGCCAGCATCGAGCACTGGAAGAAGCAGTTCTCAGCCTGCAAGGAGGAAAACGACCAGCTCAGGAGCAAGGTAGCAGAGCATACCCCCAGGAGAGCTGTCTCTTCCACTTAGCTGCTCCTGCCATTGTTCTTTCTCTTAGAAACAACAATTGTTCTTTCTCTTTCTCTTGCTGCTGCTTTGTCTTTGTGTGTGTTAGGAGATGGATTTTTGTCTCTGAAAGGGAGGGCGACAGGAGGGTTAAGGCAGCTGCATCCCTCTTCACACAGTGGGCAGGGAAGTTCAAAGGGCTGGGGGTCAGCGGGAGGGCTGGTGCTGCCACATCACGTGAAGCTCCCTGCCTCTTGGTTTGGGATACTTGATGTCAGCAGGAGTTGCTGGCCAGGGTGATAAAACAGAAAGGCTTTGGATTACTGTTGTGTATCTCTTTCAAAGCTCACTTAAATACTGCCAGATGATGAACGAGCAGAAGGCATGGTTATGGCCTGGTTACCCACAGGGAACCAAGCTGGGAGCCACGCAGTATTAGAAGCAAATCCCAGTGGCGGGCAGGGGAATGAAGACATGAGTTATGTCCTCAGCACTGGGGGCTGAGACTGGTCCTCCAGCACTAACGCTGGGCACATCTCATCCAGAAACCTGCCAACAGGCGTTGTCCGAAGCCTTGTCCCCCCTGTTGGCGAGCACAGTGGTTTTCAGTAGTGTAAGACCAAGGGCGAGCGGCAACTACAGCAAAGAACAATTCATACTTAAATTTTTAAAGCCTCAATTTAGAGTAGTCGGTGGTACTGTCCCTCAAATAATATTGTGCTGTCTGTAACAGCCCCACACAGGATTGGCACCAACCAGGGCACAGGGGAGCCTGGTTTCTGTAGCACTGCTTGCAGGGATAATTTCACTCTATTCATCTTAGATGTCTTTGGAAAAGCTGGATCCTTTTCCTGCTCACTTAGATGGATCACTGGGACGTTTGGAGTAGAGATCAGATTGTATCAGTCTGGTGAGGATTTTTTTTTTTTTGATTTAGTGTTTGCTTTCAAAGACAGAAGGAATTTCATATCTTTTTATGTCAGTAGGCTGCAAATAGTATTTCAGCATTGGAGGTGGCCTGGGCTGTCTGTCAGCACTGAAAATCCATGTGGAGCAACCTTTTACTGATATACTGATATACTCTATCTATGTATTTTAGGTACGCACAGTCATGTAATTCAGAGATCAAACCAGAGCTGTATTAACTGATGTTACATTAGCAAATTAATATTAGTTATTACACAATTTGCATTCTTATCTGCAGTCTTTTTTTGGATAGGGGAAAGTGTGAGACTGGAACAGTATGTTATAAGAAAATACCATGATTTGCGCTGTAGTTTTTTGCTTTTATATACCGTTGCAGAGAAAAGTTGTTCTCATTAGCTGATAAAACGTGCCACATCTTGGTAGCTGTAGCCTAGTTATGATACTGCCTTAATACAGCTGCAAAGTCATCATACCAGTGACTAGCCAGACTGTGCAGCAATGCTGTCTGTATAATGCTGTTTTTTTCTATACAGAGAGGTTTTCTGAGCTTTTCCCCCAAGCAGGTTCCTTGCTTGGCGCTGACACTGCACGACTGCAGTGCCCTGGGAAGTTTCTTCTCCTTTATTAATTGGGTCAGAATTTTTTGCATGTTGCTCTACCTTCAGATGAGGGAAGTTATAATCCCAAAGCAGCAGAGAGATGAGAATTAAAGTACATACTTTAATGAGCTGGCCCATCGGCCTGTGGGAAGTGCATCTTCTGGGAGCTAAGTCCAAGAGCTGGCAGGAGGAGGTGTGGAGGGAGCAAAGCACATCCCTGGGTAAGAGAACAAAGCAGCCTACCTTGCTCTGAGCTGGTTCTCCCCGCAAAGTTTTGATGTTTTGTCCCATATACTCCAGCTAGAATAACAGCAACCCCTGAGGAGGCAAAGCTGGGAGTGCTGGAGAGATTTCTTTTCCTTGCTGCATTAAGAAAACCCATCCGTTACAGTTCTGTGTTGGTTTCATAGAAGTGAAGTGCAGATTTTTATCCCCAGCTCTGCTTATTTTAGCAGCTCAGTGTTTTGTTCATTCCTGAGTACTTAGATGAGATACTGTGCAGCAGAGAATAAACACAATCCCAGGGCTTCCTAGTGGATGTGTAAATTGGGTCTTTTTAAGGAAAGAAGTGATGATTTTGTTGCAGTGAATCAAGTGCTATGATCAAGGAAACAGATCCATGACAAATTCAAGTTGTCTGTGCCTTCCCTTTGCTCAGTGGAGTAATGCCCATTTACGTCAGCTGTGTCCTGCCCCAGATTTTCAGAAATTTGAAAAACTTCACCTAATGTCTGCCATTTCTTAAAGATTGAAGAACTGGAGGAACAGTGCAATGAAATAAATAAAGAGAAGGAAAGAAATGCGCAGCTGAGTAGACGTCTCCAGGAACTGGAAACAGAACTTCAGGACAAAGAGCTGGTAAGTGCCCTGAACACAGAAATGTCATGCTTTAGAGATTGGGTGGGTCTGTCTGCTTCTCCGGGATGTAGATTTATGGGCTGGCTCACCTACCACTAGGAGCAGCCCAATGTCTCAAGGTGTTGCCTGTTGCTGGATTTTCCATGTGCAGCTCCTTAGCAACAGTTTGATAGAGTCCCTCAATCTCAGTTTCGTGATGTGTTATGCGAACACGATACTTGTAGTTATATAACCCTTTCTTCCTGTTACAAGAGCTGGAGTGATGAAATTTGTTGCCCAAAGACAGACAGATGTATGCTGGGAACAGTTTCGTCTGCCAGTCCCCATGCCCTGAATTGCCATAGACATCAGGACCGTCATTCCCAAGTCATCATTTACAAAATACCTTGGCATTTGGGTAACAAGTCTTGATTCTCTTGCTGGATGGCTCGTAGTCTTCAGCTTTGCTGGTTTTTGGCCTCCCTCTTATCTCAGCACTAGTACCAAGAGTGAGAAATCCAGATTCATTTAGAGTACCCCAGTTTGACATTTTTGACATACAGGGTGTTCATTTTTCAAAGGAGAGTGACGTTGATGGCTTGGAGCTCCTGAACAGTGGGGAAAATAATGGGATCCGTGGTTTTTTCATTCATTCCAGTGACCAAATGCTCTGTGCTGGCTGAAGAGAAAAAGCTGTCAGCAGGTGTGTTAAAGTTTGCCGTGTGCCATTACAGTATCTCTGCTGGTGCTCTTAAAAGCAGTGCTGTTAAGGGGTTTTAAGATGGCACAAGGAAATAGTTTAGGGAGATGGATTTTGATGCACTGTTATAAATATATGTTTTTCAGCCCCATATTTCAAAGGAAAATGTCATGCTTTCTTCCCAACCTTTCTATGATAATAACATGTATAATAATCCTTATTCTCTGCTAGCGTTTTCCTCAAGATTTGCATTTTTATAGTACCGAATGAACCAGAAAATTGATTGACTTGTGAATATTACATGCCTATCTTCCATTTACACTGACAGTATATTAACTTGCTTTCAAACTGCATACTTACACTAGCAGGTTCTTGATTAGCTCTAAACCACCCATAAGTAACCTTTTCATGGTCTGCAATCCAAACCAGCATGAAGCCTGCTCAGAGATGTTGCCATGATATCCTCTTCGTGTAGGAAATGAGAGAGAAATGTAAAGATGTGGGAATCAGGACAGAGCTATCTAGTGAAATATTTATATTTTTATATATATAGTATGCTATTTGCCATATACAAAGTGTGTATATATATATATATATATAGTATATGGTACATGGCATATGAAAAATATGTGCATATATATACTATATATATAGTGTATATGTAGATGGCATATATAAAAATGTGTATATATGTACACACGGTATTATACTATATATAGTAAGCATACAGTATAGTACTTGGTATACTATATATATTTACTATATATATATATATATATATTTATGTTTAGAGGTGTGAGCTCCCAGGCATTATTTATGTATATACAGATATCTATGCGTGGGAGCTCGTATCTTAAAACAAAGGGTGTTACACTTCCTTTCCCCTATATCAGCAGCTGGGATATTGCCTGGATATAGTTACTCTTACGTTAGTTAAATTCTTCAGTGCAGTTCACAAAAAATCTGTAATATTATATTGTCATCTTATATTATTTGTCACCTTATATTAATGTAAACTGATGCTGAAAAAATGGGAGAAAACAATAAAAGCGGTTAGAGTTGTCCTGGAATTATAGAATTTCTCAGAAAAAGAATTTAGTAATGGACTGGTGCTTTTGGCAAACCTTGGAAGAAAGGAACATTCTCTCCAGGATACACTGGACTCTTTGGAAATCTGGGTGAGACTGGAAGTGCTGAGTGCTGATGTACTTAGAACAGGGGAACTGGGGGGGACTTGAGGGAAAATGGTGTTGTGCTGTGGAAGAGCTTGACTTACGGATTCTGTTACATTCGTATGATGCTGTAAGTTCACCTGTTAGGGAAGAAATCAACTTTCGTAGCCCAGAAATCTGCCTTTGGGATAGGACTGGCTTTGTGTCCTGTGTCGGTACCTCTCAGAGAGGGAATACACCGGCTTACTCTTGAGACCGTCACCTACATGGGCAGTTTCTGGAGAAGGATCTTGGCGCTCCCTTCAGTCAAGTCACAGAGTTTCTCTTGGACATGTAAATGTGCTTTTCAGATGCTCTGACAATCACAAAAAAACGTACAGGCTCTCTTTTGAGTCTTTCCCTACTCCCCACATTGGTGTTCATTTGTGGCGTTAATGTATTCAAGTTGTCTTAATCACCATCAGAGACATGGACTCCCATCAAGTCACGTTGCTCTTTTCATGAACTCCTTTCAGCTCGTCCTCTCCATTTGGACAGTGATGCCAAGAACCGAATACAAATTTCAGTGGGAAGGGGGTTCTCAGAGCTGTACAGTGGAGCAGAGCCCATTACAGCTGTGCTCCGTAATGATGCCTCTATGTATGCAGCTCATCACGCCACTGGCCTTTTTTTGCTGCCATATATCACTGAAAATTCATGTCTAATTTGCTCTTTGCTACCATCTATAAATTGCTTGTAGCATTACAGCCCTTCAGATTTCTCTCTTATTGAATAGTATCTTTTGCATAGGTATGTGGTTTAGGTTAAGATTTCATTAAGATAATGGCATTCATGCTAGAGATTGGGTTACATTGTCTGTTTTAGAAATACAAAGTTAAAAATGGAGGGAAAAAAAATGTATTCTGGTAGAAAATTACCATGTGTTTTGGAATGCAGACATGCTATTTTGATTATTTTACATCCAAATACCGTGCAGAATACAATAAAATATGAACAGCCGTTTCATATTCTCAAATTTTCATTATGTTTTAAATTGAGGCTTGCACTGATTTATTTTTTTTGTCTTTTATGTTTTCAAAGGAACTGGAAGAGCTCCGAAAGCAGGGTGAAATTATACCACAGCTAATGTCAGAATGTGAATCTGTATCTCAACAATTACAGGTACAGTTTAGCAATTAAATTAATTTTAAAATAGTTGATACATTTACTTTCTTTCTCATAACTATATGCTTTTCTCTGTTCAGACTTCAGTGTTTGAAGGCAAAAGAGCTCCGGTTTGTTAAAAAAAAAAAATAAATGCTAATGACATGCAAAATACACTGTGCCCTTCCCAGCACAGGAGCAATTAAATAGCTTCATTTCTTTGCCTTGCTGTTTGCAGAATTTGGTTTGCCTGAGATTGTGTTGCATCTATCTCCTGCAGATTCCAGGCTGTGCCGTATCCCGTATTTCTGCTGCTCTGGGCTTGTGGAGCTGCGCCACAGCCATGTGTGTGTCAAGCAGCACTCCAAGACCTGCGGCTAATTGTCGCAGTGGCACCAGGGAAGGCTTTTGGGAAAGAAATAGATGAGCGTAGCTGCACGCCACCAGGGGGGGAAAAAAAAAAAAAAAAAAAAAAAAAAAAAAAAAAGTTCACCTGAGGATGCGTCTACATGACGCATCATTCCTTTCCAGCAACACATGGCTCGCTGTGGCCCAGTTCTGCACATGCGGCTCCTCTGCTGGGAGGTGCTGGCTTGGAGTGGAGCTCACTGGGCTGCCACAGCCCTGCCCTGGCCGGCAGCTGGGCTTTGGGCGTCACTTGTTAAAGCTGAGGCTTGTGCAAATGCAATAAATTAATACATGAAAGGAGAACAAACATAAGGAGTCTCACCAGTGAAATGAAATCCAATCAATCAAATAAGCCGTCACTCTGATAACCTATCCAAAATCATTTCGAAGGGTGCTGAGGAGTGCAGATGCTGAAAATGGTTAAAATACGGATTTTTGTTTGATTCAGTATGGCAGAGTATGTCGTCTGTGGCTTCTGGTGAGAATAAGCATGTGCTTACACGCATGAAACGGAGAACAGTAGGCAGAAGAGCTAACGAGGGGCGAAAATAATAGAATGAACGGCAGCAAGGGAAGTGTTACGTGGCTGCCCCATCCCTTGCCTGAGTGCTCACACAAAGTGGAACCTTAAAAAAAAATAAAAAATCCAAAAAGCAGTGAATAAAGCAGCGTTATTCCTCCGGCAGTATTTTCTAAGCTTGTTTTTCGAGGTTAAACCACCATAGATAATTCTGTATGTAATTGGTGGCACACTGTCTAATTCTGCAACTGTAGCAACGACAGAAAGATATGCACAGTGCATGATTTAAATCCAGCTGAATTTTAAGATATCAACCAAATGACAAAATCTGATGCAAAGCATCTTTTCCAGTTAATCTGTGTCCTTTCCTGCATGGGCTTTCTTTCCTTTTAATCTGACTAGCACATGTCACTTGCTCTCAGAGGTGCTTGTGTTAATCAGTTTGCAGAAGTCAAACTTTTCCAGCCCAGCTGTCATTTGTTGCTTTACCCTATTAAATGCTGTTCATCCTTCTTCTCTATGATTCATCTTATTCTCTTTTGTCTTTAAGGCTGCTGAGAAAAAGAACAAAGATCTCGAAGAGAAAGTCAGAACGCTAAGGACAGAAGTCGAAGAGAGCAAACATAGGCAGACCAACCTTAAAACTGAATTAAAGAATTTTTTAGATGTACTAGACGGGAAGATAGATGAATTACATGATTTCCGACAAGGACTGTCTAAACTTGGGGTTGACAATTAGATGGCAATAGAATTTTCTTTTTTTTTTTTTTTTTTTTTCTGGATGTTTGATGTTTCGTTGATCCCAAACGTTGTGTTTTACAAAATATAACTAGAATGTTCCACTTGTTTGCATTGTTTTTGTACATAGAGGCTGAAAATTTGCTGTGGGGGGTTTTTGTTGGTGGGGTTTTTGGTTTTTTTTTTGGTTTTGTTTATTTTCCAAACCAATCATGCTGCTCACTGAATTCTGTTGAGATTAGAAACTTTCTATATTGCTGCTCTGGCTTCGTGCAGTTGGGAACAGGTAGAGGGTTCTGTCTCAGGAATCTGGAACTAGATCTACCTTAAAATGAATATGCAGTTAGTTGTTGCAGGGAAATTTATATCTTTCTTAAGGGCTGTTGCAACCATAGAAACAGAAAACAAGTCTTTTTCTTGTCCGGACTATCAGAAACATCCTAGAAACATCCACTTTTATTCCTTGGTGGAACAGAGGGAAGATTAGCTGAAGCTCCTGCAGTTTGTAAAATGTGCCTGTGATGAGCTGCAGTCGAGTGAATCACTTCACACAGATACCAGTAGCTTTAGGGACCGTGTCAATCAGGCCTGATTCACCCCAAAATTCCAGTGGATTTCAGATAACCTCCAATACAAGTTGCATGTGCTTGCCTGGACCCGTACAGCCCAAAGTCAACCATGTAGAAATGAATGTCAGCTCTCCAAGTCATGTATCTTACGCAGTAGGTGCAGACAGCTTCTCTTGCTTAGCAAGATCATCTCTGGCCCTCAGTTTTGGACCCGTATAGTTCTGTTGTTATGTGCATCTCTTAAAAAATGCCCACCTGAGTCTTGAGACCAGATACTTATTTTAAAAAGCGTTATGTTGCTGGTTTGTACACAGGGCACCCGCAGCTCGGTGCAACTTGATCACTGTTGATTAACTTCTGCGGTAGGGAAGGAGGAGACAATCTAAAAAGCAATACAAGGTTATTTGAACGTGTTTCTCAGAAGTAAGTTCCTGCCCAGGAGACCGTCAGGGTCATGACCACATGAAATCAAAATCCTTTCCTATGATTTCTGCATTCTCACCTCATATATCTTTGTCGGTAGGGTGGGAATTAGTCACCAGGCTAGGCAGTCCAAAAAAAACCTCCAACCTGGAACGCAGAACTACTGTTGTATTCTCAAACTGATTATTCAGCAGCTCTAAATATGTTTTGAGAAATGCAAGGTCATGCACTGGGCTTCAGCAAGAAGGAAGTTCACTCTCCAGACAGGGATGTAAAAAGGGCCAGAGAGGAGAATTCAGCCAAAGTTCTGCTCTTGCTCCGAGGACTGCCTTCAGCTTCTTTCTCTTCTTTCTCCATAACCTGGTTTGAGAGTCCGTTGACATGGGATCTGAATTAATTCAGGCAAGAACTTTTGTTGAAGTGACATCATTATTATTTGCTTAATTCAGGCGAAAGCTTGGTTAAGCACCGCGTCAGTGCATTCCAGCAGTGACTGATAGAAAATGGCCGTGCTTTTCTTTTTATTTAGGGGCTGCTTTCTTTTCTTGGCACATATCAGTTATAAAAGTGACCTTTAACAGAAAGGTGAGTTGTAGGTGAAACGTGCATTGAATACTTTTTGCACACAGCTATATAATCCCCATGCTAGAGATAGATTCTGTCTCCAATTGTCCCTTGAATTTTCATTTCATCTGTTACTGTTGAGTTGTCTTCATTGCCTGTTTTTTTTTAGACTGGACTTTGTGTATTTTTTGCTTTTGCTCCTTTTAAACAACGGATGTGAAGCTGGGACCTTTCGTAACCATTATGACCACTTAAGGATCTTTAAAAAAGATTGCTGTAGGCTGTCGATATTTAAAAATAAAAATAAAAATCAGGTACATAGCATGTAGGCGTGTGAAAATTAGACTTTGCCAGCACGGAAGATTCAACAGTTGCATAATGTGGGGTTAGATCAGACTTCTCAAAACTGAAAATGACGTCAGAAACTGTGTGTGGTTGTGCACAAGTAATCTCAGATTTTATTTTTTTTATTTGATAGCAAGTGAGATAAACACCGCCATTCCACAGGCAGCTTGTCCTGCTTCTCCTCTCCTCCCATGCTGCTTTGGAGTTCCCAGACGAGCCAGTCCCAGCATCAGCTGGGAACCAGGGAATAACACAACTAAGAGCTGCAAGCAATACGGGTAGTCAGGGCTCTCCTTGTCACAGTGGTTGATTGTTTTTGCACCAAGGACCTTGCTCCATCTTGTTTCCTTTTTTTCTGTTGATCAATCTTAGGGCTTCCTTCTTGGTTTGAATATAAAATATTATTTTTAACGTGATTCTGACTAGAGGGATGCAAGGGACTCTGTTTTTATTTTATTGGGGTTAATCCAGATCTTTTTTTCACTTTAGTCAGGTCTATCTCAGATCCGGTTCATTAGGAGTGTATTAAGCCACTCTTAAATTCTAAGAAAAGTGTTTCTAGGGGATTGAATCAATTTAGCAGATGGAGTTTAATGCTGGCACATTAAACCAGTGCACAGTGCTGACACAGGCGGTTATTTCTGGGTGTTTCCTGCCCATCAGAGGAACAACGGGGATGTCCTTAGAGAAATCCCTGCCCTATCTTTCTAGTCTTGCCCCAGATGTATGTATCTGCTGTTGCCCTGCTGTTGGGTTGTTGGGGATGCCTGTACACAGCTACACGCTGTGGGAAACTCCATCCTTCAAGCATCCAGGGTCTTGCTATAATTACCTTCTTTCTCTCTTTTTCCTTCCAAACAGCAGTAGGTTGAGAGTTTCTGTGTACAATCACTTAAAACCCTCTCTCAGACTGCCATTTCTTTTAACCTTTCCCTCTCTTTCATTGTATTTTTCCCCTTTAAAAGCCAAAAGTGTACTAGGAAGAGGCCGTGCGTGCTCTCGGGAGCGTTTGGACACCAGCTGCAGCTCCCCTCTCCAGCCTGGCCCCATCCCTGCCCCAGGACTAGAGCCCCGTGCTCCTGCTGCGTGGGGACCGTTGTGTCACACACGGCTTATTCCTTGATGCTCTGTGGTGGCCCAGCAATAACACCTGCCTGCCAACCTGTGAGCCCCGTGCTGCTCCCCATCCTGGCATTGAAATGCCTCTTCCCTCCTGGCGGGAGCACTGGGGCGGCCAGCCTTCCTCTGCCAAAATGCCCACACCACTGCATGGATGCATTTGTTCCTCCTTTTGTGTGCGTTGGGGTTCCAGCCCGTTGCTGAGGCAGGAGCTGTGCTCAGCTGGCAGCCACCTGCTTAGGGAGAGCCACAAACGCCGCTGGGGCCAAGAAATGTTCATCCCTGTCCAAGAGAGGGTCTGCAGAGCTTGGCTTTATTTGTTATTCAAATACAGTGCTGGGCAAACTGTGGACACAGGTTTCTCCCTCGAAGTGGTTGATGACAGGACCCATCCTACCTCAGTGACGTGGTCTTTCGTTATAAAGGTCTTGCACTTGGCGCTCGCTGTGCCGAATCCCGTCAGCCTCACGTCCTGCCCTGCTGCCCACCCTGCCTGCCTGGCCCCCTGGTACACGGGAAGAAAATTCTGTGCTGGCCTGTCGTGCCACCGGCTTGGAGAGCGTCTTACTCCCTTCTGGCATTTCCAGTGAGCTGCTCCTTGGGGCTGGTGTTAGAGCTGCTGAATAATGGTGGGGGTGGGTTGGTTTTGGTGGCCAAAATGAGGAATAAAACAGGTATTAGCACACAAAAAACCCCACAAAAACAAAAACAAACCGCTAGAAATATTCTGTGACGTAAAAATGCATGGAGATAATTATTTCCAAGGGGAAAGAATGTTCCATTAGATATGTTATTTCACATTTTGGAAGATGACCTTAGCCTCATCTCTGGAATAAATTATTTCAAAATGAAGAACTGAAACATTGTTTCACACCCCAGAATAAAATAGGTTGACCTTTTGTGCGCTTATTTTTTTTTTTCCTATTTGGCTGAATATTTATTTGCTGATTTTGACTCCGCAAGTAGTTTTGTTTGGCCTAAATGTGCATTTTCAGCAAAATTAGTACTTTCTCGTGTTCTCCTGTCTACATCTAATTGGTGTCTCCTCCACTAAGTGGGCTCACTGGAAGAAAACTGTCTTTTCTGTAAGAAATTCAGTGCCACCTCTCACTTTCTGTATCCTAGCATTTTTAAAAATAGTTTTACACTGGGTGAATCAGTGCCCAGAAAACAAATGTTATTTAGACAATGCCTTTTTTCTACACAAACGCCTGATTTTATTTTTATGAGAGTGATTTAGGGTGAGCATTTTTTAAAGCTGTCCAGTTAATTAAGAAGAGCAGGGAAGGGTTTCTGCTGTTCCTCCTGCTGTCTCTGCCACTGCCGTCGCTTTCGAAGAGCATCAGCAAAAGCATCTGGGGAGTTAAGGCAGGTGCTCACCCTGTGTTTGCTCGGTAGCTTGGCGGGCATGGGGAGCCCATGTCCCCATCTCAGCAGGGCACAAATTGTCCATAGACTTCTGCACTCTTCTGCATGCTGTTTATTTTTTTTTGTTTGTTTTTCCCCCTAAGCGTTCATTTTCTCCCTTGTCAATTTTTTGCCACCTTTGGCTGCTTCATAAATGACAGAAGGAAAATTCCCCGTTACAGCCACCACCTCGTAGTGGTGGGAGTCTCTCAACTACAAGCCCATGGGGTTTTTTAGGCTTTTCCGAATAGTTATCTCTGCAAAACCCTTCAAAGCGTCAATGGCTTGTAAAGAATATAGTGCTGTCTTCCTGAGCTTATGGATTAGCAATGATAAAACCACTATCAGGGTGAAACGTCCTGCTTGGCTTAGTGCATGAGTGATGCTGAGTCCAAAGTCAAAGGGTGTAAGGGAGGATCAGCAGCGGCTAACTTTGACAACCATTTCAGCAGAAGCTTCAGTGAAAGATGTGCTCTGACCACAAGCTGTGGATGTGCCAAAGGTCTAGGATGGCCACACTGATCCATCAGCTCACCTGCCTTTGTCCAGGCAGTTCTGGGCTTGTCAAGCCTGTAAATATCAAAAAGCCCTCAGCGTATCACAGACGTGGCAGTGTGAGGGATGGAGGGCAAATACCCGCACACAGAGCTGTGCGGCGCGAGAGCGTTGCAGCACGGCACTGGATTATGGTCAGACACTTTCAGTCAAAAATCGGAAAAGCTGTTGCCATCCTACACAGGCTCAGCAGTAGCAGAGTCCTTGCAGAAGGGCAGGTTGATCTTTTGGGGTGCTGGGAGGGAGCTGGGCTGGTGGGGGTCTGGCTGTGAGCGTGATTCAGCAGGTACGACAGAGCCACCGTAAGGTAGTTTTTCTTTCCATGGATCATGTTCAACAAGCACCTGTGTATCAAACAAAGCAATACATAGCCACAAAACAGTTAATCCAGACACATCTCCAGGCAGAGAGCCCTGGCTGGGGACGCTGTGCCTGGAGTCCTGCACCCCCAGGAGCTCGGCAGTTCTTTAGGGTCATTATCAGAATATAAACTTGCCATGAAGTTTGCGTGTCTTAAATACCGTTCTCTGCAGTAAATGGTAAGGTATCTGAAGAGAAATAGAGTCAGGAGGTAAATGGTAAATGTGATGAAGGTGCTTCCCAAAGGAGAGCTCTCCCTCAGGCTGCTGGCAGAGCTGGTCCTGGCTGGGAGGGCTTGGCTTGCATCCCTGGGGGATCTTGGATGTCTAACCTGTTTGACTTTCTACTGTGTTCTGTCTTAGCTCTTCTTCTTTTTCTTCTTCTTCTTTTTTTTTTTTTTTTTAAAAAAAACCAGCCTAAACATACAGTCTTCAGATGAAGGTGCCTATACCTCCAAAAATTTTATATGCACGTTTTGAAATAGATTTCTTTTTCCTTTCTGATCATTTAGTTACCTAATAATAATGGTACATACAAGAAAGGCACTTGGGAAAAATCTGCCTGCTGTTACATTGTGTGGGTTGGTTTTGTTTTGTTTTTTAACACTAGTCAGCAATAATTATTTTAGCCATATACTAGCTAAAAAGATGGATAATGTAAGATTTGTGAACTAAGCTTCTAAGTTTGCAGTGCATTGATTAACTTGATTATGTGAAGAGGGAGCTATGCTCAATAAAGGAGTATTTTGCAGCATTTAGATGTTTTCATTTAATTGCCTAATAGTGATCATGAACACGATATTCTATAAAACTCATCATGAATGACAAGCAAAGCACATCATTTTTAACATGAATATATCCCTTGTAGTTGAAAGTTCTGAGAGTGTTTTAGTGTGGTCTGCTATACCAAAATATTTAGGTTATTATGAGATTTTAGTACTAAAGATAAACATACACCCTGTTTTTACTGTTTCAAGTAAAGTTTAGTGAATGACTGACAGTTTGTTGATACACAACTGTGGGAAAACACTGCAGTGCTCTAAATGTATATTTTTTGTTTGGGTTTCTTATATTTAGGATATGGTTTAATGAAAACTGAAGTGTTTACTACAGTTGAATCATTGTAAAAACATCTCTGACCTCGTCATTTGTCTGCTGTGAAAAAGTACTTTCCTCTTCTTTTTTTTTTTTCCTTTTCCTTTTTTTTTTAAAAAAAAAAAATTGACCATAGACAATGTTGACATTTAGACTCCTAGTAGCAGTAAATGCTGGGTTTTATATATATAAAAGGAAAACTTGATTTTTTTCTTTATGAACTTATTATATAACTTTGTGATTTTTATCTGATTTTATTGTAACATAAAGTTGTTTTATGTAAAAATATATAGTTTAAGTAAAATCTCTTGTCTCACTGTCTTCACTGACTTTAGAAGAATCAGCATCTTTGTGGCCGTGAATCTGAACTCAAGGTAATGCTGTCCTTTGGTAAGAAGAATGTGGTTTTGATCTAGACATCTGCTATAGCGCCTTAGGTAATCTGCTGGACCTTTATGTCTTGCTTCGCTTTATGCTGTTAGCACATGCAGAGGGGAGTGCAGGATTGAGATGGGTACATACATAACTAAACTGGAAAAGTGGTATCTAAGTTTATTTTGGGGTGGCATTTTGGACTTGTTGCATGCTGAGAAAGTCCTGTCGCTACGAGAAGGCTTTTTGCCACTCTCTTTGGGAGATGCTCAGGACCAAAAGCCCTCTTGTGATTCCTGTAACTGATGTGTAGCAGCCCCTGTGGGCAGCTGGAGCTGGTATTTTCTCTGGAGAAACTACCTAGGATTCAGATGTAACCCTCTGTGTTGAAATTAGAGATGTTCTCACAGCAATCATAATGCAATTAATGAGAACCCTCCCAGCAGAGACTCTTTCCCAAGGTGGTGTTCAGCAGCACAGTTCACACTCAACAGCACTTCCCTGGTAGGGGATGATGCTGAAGTCCATCTCCAGACAGTACATCAGCATCATTGTATTCATCATACAGAAGCAGAGTTACTGTCTTTGCACCAAACCAGGCTTCCTCAGAGGAAATAAAAAGATTTGAAGACTGTTAAATGGCTGAGGTTCATCGTGCCTTTGTTACTCTGGCCTACGAGGCTGCAAAGTTCAGCTTTGGTGTGAGCAAGAGACACGTCTACCCCCGACCTTTCATCAGAGATCTTTTACCAGGAGCCATCAATAGCTCAGATAAGCAGTTCAGCAAATTGTGGCAGCCCCTGAAAAACCAGCAGCTATAAAAGCATTTTGTATGTACTCTAGTCAAATGCAAGTAACGGTCTCTAATTCTTAGGAAAAAAAAAAAAAAAAAAAAAAAAAAAAGCAGCATTTATCTGTTTAGATTTGCGTAATTGTAAAGCTTAATATAACAGAAGTCCCTGTGTGTACATTCCATCACCTGCAGTTCTCAGATACAAGCCTCTGCCCTGTTAGTGAGCAGGCGGATGATGCCACGGTGGCATTGCCCCGTCTCCACGCTGGCAGCCCTCTCCAGCCATACGTGGGGAAGTGCCTCGGGCCACTGGTCGCGTGGAGGCGCTTGTTTGGTTACAGGTACATCTGACACTTCGTTAGGCAATCGCCTCATTAAGTCCAGGGTATATTTTTAGCATCGAGAAAGTCACTGGCCTGTGTTAAAAGCTGTTCCTCACTGTTCATAATGCAGGTGACCAGTGTTGCCAAACACCGTGGTCTGGCAGGGGGTGAGTGATGCTGCTGGCAGGGAAATCTGCTGCTGCCTGTCTGTGATCCCTTCATTTTCCTGTTCAACTGGATTCATATCAGACAGCTTGGGGAGCCTCCTCAGTGGTGTGTGTACTTGTGCAGTTGCCCACCAAAGAGCGTTTTACTTAGCTGTGTGATACTGAGCTGTGATGTGCCACCTTGGGATGTCTGATGAAAATACGAGCTGAAGTGAGAGGAAGCTTAAGTTCAATGTTTGACACATAAGCAGATGAGTGACTCTATAATAGGCACTCCTTTTGGTTAGCTTCTGTTCCATCAGCGGCATAGGAAAAGCTAGGCCCTAATTTCCTTCCTTTTGGGGAACCCCACCACCACCACTGGGAGGACTGGTATAAAACCAGTATAGCAGATAGGATCCCAGAGCAGGAGCAGCTCTGTCTGTAACACGTGTTAACTGGTGACGGGGCTGAACTTACATACAATTCAACATTATTCTGTCCCACGTACACCAAATACTTTTCATATTCCCCACTTTGAATCTAAAGGCATGTCTGCACCAACAAAGGAAGAAAAGAGGATGTGTTAATTATATATTATTCTAACTGTCTCCCTACTTCCTGGAAGAATTGAGCATTTCTGCACAAATCCACTGATACATAGCGCATACATTTTCTTTTAGTCTTTTTACCTCCTAAAAAGTCTCCAACAGCTTGTAAATAATTTTAATGATTTACAGCATTAGCTATCCTTTACAAAACCAGCATTGCCAACCCGAGCAGAACATCCAGCGTCGGTGAGTCTGATATGTAAGAGGCTAACCCTGTGAACAACTGAAATGCATATGTTAGATACAAAAATACAGCAGCAGCAGTTGAAAAAGTAAAAGTATATAGCTCAGACTCTGCCCTGCAGCAGTGGTGCAGCCATGCTTCAGCTGCTGCACCAACTGGAGCAAAGTCCAACCATCCTTCCAAAGCAGAAAAAAAAAAAAAATACCCTGCCAGGTGCACTGCCAGGTTTGATTTCAACGAGCAGTGCTAAAAATGGCCATCCAGAGACTCCTACAGCAGCTCTGCAAGGGCCGTGCCAGTAACCCGCAACACAACTTCCCGTTTTATCGTTAACACATGTCAGAGCAGCGCCGCCGTGTAGCTGTCCCAGACTGCGAAGATCTGAGACCTGGTGAATTTTAAAAGCTTGGCTAACCTTTGCAAGGCAAACATCTTCAATCTTACTGCAATAATGCATTGGTGGGAACGTTTGACAGATCATCACAGCCGAGTGGTACTTAACTCCGACCTCTGCCTGCGAGTTTTTCAAAGGCAGATCTCTGCGCTATGAAATTCCCTTTGGGTCTTAACGCTTTCCTTGAAAATTGAATAAATTTCAATAACTTTTCAGAACTGTTAGATCTTCTCAGAAGCGCTCTCTGGAATAAAATGATCTCTAGATGGAAAGCTGCAGGCTTTCATATGGGTTGAAAAGAATTTTTTTGTGTGCCAATATGGGGGCCCAGATCTGGCTTTAAGGTTGGTATCCCAAGGGTAGAGGCACAGCAGCTTTAGACACATTTTACTAATCAATCCTGCTCTAGCAGAGCTTTGAGACCTGCTGTTCTCCACCACCATGCATCCCTTCACAAACACGTGTGTCCCTGTGTTGTATCCAGGATCCCACGCAGCTCTCTGGGACCGTGCTTCCACGCGTGGCTGGATGCTGCAGGCTGAGGGCGGGCTTAAATACCCTGAACAACATTTCTTGACAATAATTTGCATCTAATTAGTCAAATTTATGAGCAGATACATCTATTGGTACATGAAGCACGTTGATTTGAGTATTTTTGTTTTCCTTTCATATCCTCTTCATTCATTAGTACTGGCAGTCTATGAAAAAGAAATCTGTGGCTGCTGTAATCAAAGAGAGATTGAGCTCTTGCTTTTCTCCCAACTTTCCATCATTGAATATGATTTGTTGCATATGCCCTGGATTGTGCTTAATGTATGCTGGCTGGAGGGAATTCAGATGTTCAGGGAATTATAAATAATACCAGCACAGGCAACCTTTTTGCATGATCATGTCACACTGAAGTGTATCAGTTTTCAAAGCTATTTTCTTTTAGGCTTTTGCCATTTATTTCCTTGCTATCATTAGCTGTGGCTTTTTTTTTTTTTTTTTTTTTTTTAGCCCAGAGATGAATGAAGCAAAAACGAGATTCTGGAGTTCCCTGAAGAGCAAAGAGCCCAGGAAAGAAACGAAGTATTTATGTCTTTCAAATTATGTCTGTCTATAGCAGCGTTGGGTGCATTTATAAAGATAATCCCTGGCTCTGAAACCTGAGAAATTGCAGTGATTCACGCTCCTTACGCTGCAGAGGTCCCACGGTCATCAGCACAGTCATTTTAGTGGGAGGGGAATGGGACAGAGGGGGCACACAAATGCCATTGAAAAAAAGAAGGAAAAGAAGCACGGATGCATTGCACTGCAGCCTAGCTCCTCTAAATCATGGGGTTTAATATTCTGTATGCCCTATTGGCTCAGATGAAAGACAGCTAGGATCTGTATCCTGGTCTCTCCGTAGTGAGCTGCAGCATCCCCTGGCAATGCACAGCTCCAGCTGCCCTACTGCTGTATCTCATAACTGGGTACTGGAGGCAGCAGGTGAAACCTCTGACCCACAGAGAGTTTTGAACAAGCTCTGGACGATTTTCTTCAGCTGTGGTTGCTGTAATTTTTTTTTTTTTTTTTTGCTTTGCACTGAGTATGCAAACAGGCACTGAGAAGCACAATGTTTTGGCAAATTAATCTGGGCTGCCCTTGTCTTTCAGCCTGGCTTATTTTGTGTGAAATGTGGAGCAGTACTGGCATGCCTCATCCGAAGCCTCCTCTGGGTCACACCGGGTGACTGCGCTGGAGCCTGGCAGGCTCAGCAGACCCGTGTCACAGGAAAACATTGCTTGTCACTAGATGCTTGCTTCACCTCTGGTCCAGATGTCTCCTTGCCCGTTTAAAGCTCATTATAGCTATCCAGATGCCATTTGCCTCACCCTGGGGAACATCGCTGCCGCTGCCATCAGTCCTCCCACAGGGATGGAGGCTGGACCACAGAGCCAGCCTCATTCCTGCCACCCAGCATGGCATGGGGAAACCTTGCCTTAGGGCAGCAGGCAGAGGCCCTGGCACTCACCAGCGAGGGATGCCAGGAGGGCCCAGGCGTGTCTCTCACACACAGGCTGTCTCCCCGGCGGGCAGCCCTTTTCCCTGCAGCAGATGCTTCCCGGAGCGTTTACATGTGAGAGGTTCTCCTTTTGGCACAGCAGACACGGCGCACTTCCGCTTCACCACGCTGTGTGCCTGCACCCTCACACGCACTTTTCAGGATTTTTATTTCAAAATAGCGGGCCTGACAGCTCAGGAGGGAGGGAACAGAGCAGAGCTCTCCGTGGAGGCTGGGGGAAGCGTAGGCGCTTGATCCTGTTTCGCCATCACCTCTGCTTCACAGGAAAAGACCGTGGGAAGGGCAGTGACTCACTTGCTGATGATGAATAGTGATTCGAGCACATCTCCAGGAGTGGGACAGATTCATTTCGTCACCCCCAGTGTCTGCACTGCCCACTGCCACAGTGCTGAGACGCACAGATACCACGCTGCTGGCGTCGGAGCTGGCTG